CTAAAATACTTAGTCATTTGTTTAATAGTAATTTAACATTATATAATTCACATATAAAACTATGAATTGTGATTTTTAAAAAGCATGTAGAATAGCATATGTAGGCAAGTATATTTCTCCTTTCTTTTAATCAAGAAGCAAAGACAAAAAGGAAAAAATAAGAAACGGGGTTCAGTGGTTGAATCATCCGTCCCCACCAATTCCAAAACCAAATCCACGCCCTTGGTCCTCCCCCTTCCAGGAGACATGATTTATGTCTTGGTTTTGCACCAAGACAGTCCAAGGGGGGATTATTGCTTGAGGATTTATTATAATGCACAGAGTCTACTTTCTTGGTCATGTTATCTGTGCTCCTTAGCTGTGTACTAGCTTGCTCATCGCCATTGTTTTGAATCAAAGGCAAGGTTGTTTCATTTCCACACAGTCCATTTACCTCCACGTTTACTTCTAAGCGATGAATTTTTGTCTCCAGTACTGCAATCTTCTGCAGGAGGCTGTGGTAGTCATCTGTGGAGAGGGGAGGCATTTGTTGCTAGTTAGCCTAGCGGTTAGCACCTTTCCAGGCTATTGAGGCTGTTCGGTGCCCAGACGCTGTAATCAGGCTTCAGCTGTGTGTAGGCCACAGACACACGGAGCGCTGAAGATAAGGTAACTATAAAAATTTTGCTGTTTCTGTTAAGAACACTTTAGTCCTAATGATCTATAAGTGACCAAAAGCTATTTCAGGTAAGCTCATACGTAAAAAAGGGAAAAAAAAAACCACCATAAAAATCAATAAAAATCAATAAAAGAAGCAAAGCATTTAAAGAGCAAAGAGATGAAGCGTCCACACTCACAAAAAGGGGAGGTACAACCTTTGTGAGGAGCACAATCTGGTTCCTGGATCTGGTTGTCACAGAAAACTGTTTTTTTCTGGTGATTTTGAAAATGTTTAATTGTCATTATGCTTGATTCTGATCTGCTGATGAGTCACCGTTGGAAACACGCAACACAACCAATCACATTCATTCAAGTTTCCACGTCTCCTTTATGGAGCTGTGGAACAGTAAGCTTTAATATTAAATTGATATATTATATTCGTTCAGTTTATGGAGAATTTTGTTTGTCTGCTGAGTCTCACAGGTGTGCTGTGGGTGCACGCCGCCTCCAAACAGCCATATTTACCGCATGTCTGCAGCGTCCTGTTTCTGATTCTCTACTGATGTGTGTTTCATTGTCAGGGCTGCACGGAGCGCTTTGTTTCCAGTCCCGAGGAGGTGATGGACGTTATCGATGAAGGAAAAGCAAACAGACACGTCGCTGTGACCAGTAAGTCTTCACTTGTACGTGTGATACTTCCGCCCCGACCATCGTGTGTTTGTGCTCGGATCGGTTTACTGAATGGGGTTTCTTCTTCATGCAGACATGAACGAGCACAGCTCTCGCAGTCACAGCATTTTTCTGATCAACATCAAACAGGAGAACGTGGAGACGGAGATGAAGCTATCAGGGAAACTTTACCTGGTGGACCTGGCAGGCAGCGAGAAGGTCACACTGCTCCATCACACTCAGTGAGCACCTGTTCTCTGTAAATTTCTGCTTGCTGACACCTGGATTGTGCTTTCTGCCGTCCAGGTGAGTAAAACAGGAGCAGAGGGCGCTGTTTTGGATGAGGCTAAAAACATCAACAAGTCTCTGTCTGCTCTGGGGAACGTCATCGCTGCCCTGAGTGAAGGAACGGTGAGTCTTCATGTCTCCGATCTTCAGGTCTCTGACATGTACACCTGAAATATTCTGGATTTAACTTGATTTGTTTGACAGAAACTTCACAGCTCACCTGATTTTCAGGTGAAGTGATTGTCACGTGTCTCGTGTGTCTCTAGAAAACTCACGTTCCATACAGAGACAGTAAGATGACCCGGATCCTTCAGGACTCTCTGGGTGGAAACTGTCGAACTACCATCATCATCTGCTGCTCGCCGTCTGTTTACAACGAGGCTGAAACCAAGTCCACGCTCATGTTTGGACAGAGGTACGGCAAGTCACCTGATCAGAGGAAAAAGCAGAGTACTGTGGTCGAAGTAC